CTTTGAGCAGACATCTCCTCTGAGAAAGCTTTGCCCTTTTCCAGGGATTTAATTGTCCACCTGTGCAGTTAAGAATGAACTTAATGGAATGTCTTCTGTATGCTGATAATTATCAGGCTCTCTGGGAAAAAGCCTACAGTACATTTTGCATTTCCCAAAATCCCATAGATGTGTTATTTCAAGATGTATTTGCATATTTCTGTGTCTACAATGTCCTGGATGCTGAAAACCTTTACAAAATTTACTGCTGTGGTGTGTGCTGCACCTTGCTTCCTCCAACCATACAGAGAGTCAGCATAGAAGATACAAATTACAATATAGTTATACAATATATATATACGGGTAGATAGATAGGTGAAATACTAGTTCTCAGCAATTGTGCTGTGAGCCCGACTAAATTTTCTCAATAGTGAGGTGAAGAAGAGGCCTGTATTTTTCTTTTTTATCCCTTTATCCCTTTTTATCCCAAATCTTTCACTGCACTATCTTTAACATCCCTGAGCAAATTTTGACTTTCATAAAAAATAAAAGGCCAAGTTCACCTTTTTTTTCTATAAAATCCAGCTCCCCTATGCACCAATATACCATTAATGTACCTCAGTTGCAAAAATATACAAGCTCTCTTTGTTTCAGAGCCTGGGTCCAAACCTGGACCTTCTGCAGTGAATGGCAATGTTTCCTCTTGCTGAGCCACCTGGAATGCTGAACAGCTCCCTTGACAATTATTTGGATGATCCTACCTTGACCTTGTTTGTCATCAACCTTGAGCCCCTTGTTCCTCCCATGAACTTCCTGATATAAACCATGTCTCTGCACTTCCTTTTTTCCAGAGTTTATTGTGCTCTCCAGCCAGTATCTTGCTCCTTTTTTTCCCAGATTATTGTGCTCTCCAGCCAGTATCTTGCTCCTTATTTTGCCAGATTATTGTGCTCTCCAGCCAGTATCTTGCTCCTTGTCCTTTTGCCAGATTATTGTGCTGTCCAGCCAGTATCTTGCTCCTTTTTTCCAGATTATTGTGCTCCTCCAGCCAGTATCTTGTTCCTTGTTTGCCAGATTATTGTGCTCTCCAGCCAGTATCTTGCTCCTTTTTTCCAGATTATTGTGCTCTCCAGCCAGTATCTTGCTCCTTTTTTCCAGATTATTGTGCTCTCCAGCCAGTATCTTGCTCCTTTTTTCCAGATTTATTGTGCTCTCCAGCCAGTATCTTGTTCCTTGTTTGCCAGATTATTGTGCTCTCCAGCCAGTATTTTTTGCTCCTTTTTTCCAAATTATTGTGCTCTCCAGCCAGTATCTTGCTCCTTTTTTCCAGATTATTGTGCTCTCCAGCCAGTATCTTGCTCCTTTTTTCCAGATTATTGTGCTCTCCAGCCAGTATCTTGCTCCTTTTTTTTCCAGATTATTGTGCTCTCCAGCCAGTATCTTGTTCTTTGTTTGCCAGATTATTGTGCTCTCCAGCCAGTATTTTGCTCCTTTTTTCCAAATTATTGTGCTCTCCAGCCAGTATCTTGCTCCTTGTCTTCTCTGTTATTATCCATATTTTTCTACCACTCGTTATTGACCCTTGGCTTGTTGTCGACTATGCTTCTGCCTGATCCCAACCTGTGACTGCTCATTACCAACCTTGGCTTGTTTACTGACCACGCTTCCGTTTGATCCTTACCTGCTTATACACTACTGGACCTGTGCTTGCTCACCTCCTGGTGGGGTGATCCTGAGGACCACGACCTGGTGCTAACATGCAGCAAAATCCATCTCCACCATCAGGAGTTTCTGGTGAACACCAGTTGGTACTTAGACTCCTCACTTCAGGTGATCCCACTCCTCCAATACGGTGACCTGCCTGTGTACCTATCCTGCTGGTTTCAGGTGAGCCTTTCCACTGCTATAGCAACTGGTCTTCGCGCCTGACCCCTAATCGTGACACTTTGATCTGGAGAACAAGGCTTTACCTTAGCCCCTGGTAAATTTCTTAGAAAGCTTTTTCACTTCCTGGAAAGTAGACAGAGGACAGAGGAGCCAGTAGGACCCCGGAAGCATATTACCAGCTGATCTCATTAGCATACACATCCTGCACTGACCTCATTAGTACAGACCCAATCTGAAAATCTGTTCAAAATCCCACATAAACTGACAAATAATGAAACATCCTGTGGATGAGGTAAGTACGAGAAAAGCACATCAGGATGGCTGGGCCATAAATGGCATTGGAAACAGTTCTATTTATTATTGTAGCCCTGTTTTGGGGGGGGTTATGTGAAATGGACCACACCAAACAAGCTATGGCGCTAACCTGTATATGAGTAGGCAATCCTGAGCCTTCGCTATATGGAAGAGGGGGTTGTGATAATACAAATGGTAGTGCCTCCACCTAGAATAGGGATCCTGCAATTGAGGAGGACTCACCCCTTTCTAGGAATGTAACAGGTAGACAACTTAAAGTAACTATACATAGCAGTATTAATGCACCCAGCTTATATTTCTAACATGAAAACATGTCACCACACCTGTATGAGATTAATGCAAAATTTATATAAAGCAGCCACATAAAACAGGATGCATAAGAATAACATTCAGGAATTACAATTTACGATAATTGGGAGGTTGCAATTATACCCAGGTATATGTGCATGTAGTATACAGAATACCTCCAACCATGGGTTATAGCGCAGTCCGGTTTTTTGCAGGGGCCCCTGGAGAGGTGAGAGTCAAATAAGATGCACGCTTCCACTTCAGATGCTGTGATGGCGTCCAAGTAACACGTTCTATGCGGATGATTGCACTGCTTGTCTGAAGATCAGCGATGCATCACCTAAAAGGATAAAATGCCCTATCTCTCTTTTACTCTTAGTCCCTATCCCTAAACTGGGCTGTCACTGCAACCGTGCCTCTATCTGTCTAAGTGGCCGTCGGATGCCTAACCTACCTCTAGCCTAATCTATCCAACGCTCCCTATGCTAATCCTAGCTAAAAGGAGATCCAGACCAATAAGGGTGCTATGGCTTTAAGCAAAGAGGCTGCAAAGATACACTGCAATTAACAGAAAGTTCACCTGACAGTCTTATGCAGGTGAAAACACTGATCTATATATATATATATATATTATATAATATATATACAGTTGCAAGAAAAAGTATGTGAAACCCCTTGGGATTACGTGGAGTTTTGCATGAATTGGGCATAAAATGCTTTGCTCTGAACGTCATCTAAGTCACAACAATAGAAGAACACAGTCTGCTGAACATAATACTACACAAACATTAGATGTTGCCATGGTTTAATTGCACATAACATGTAAACATTCACAGTGCATGGAGGAAAAAGTATGTGAGGCTCTAGCTTAATGACTTCTCCCAGAGATAATTGGAGCCAGGAGTGAGCCAACCTTGACTCCAATCAGTGTGATGATATTGGATGTGTTGCTGACAGCTGTCCTGCCCTTAAAAAACACACATCGGCATGTGATCGGCTGTGTCCTGTTACAGCCCATCACAAGTGTAAACAAACAGTGGTAACTTGCCTTATGAGCTGCAGTACCAGGGCTGGCCAGCGGGTGCTCCCAGCAATCAGAGACTCAACCTTGCAGCCGGTCAAACACTTGGAACTGATTATACTGGTGTATTTAAGGGATGGCCAGACCTGCAGACTCTGCCTTGGTGTGTGTTTTCTCCTGGGCCCTGTATCCTGTTCCTGCTCCCTGTTCATGTCTGACTCGTTGCTGACCCTGCTCTGATCCCTGGCTTTGTCTGACCATTCTCCTGCTCCTGATCCCTGGCTTGTCTGACCATTCTCCTCTGCCTGACCCTCTGTACCACGCTGCCCGCTACCTGCTGAACCTGGCTTGTGACCCCGACCATTCTCCGCTTGCTCCCCCTGTACCTACCTGCCCGATTGATATTGACCCGGCCTGCCTGATGACGCTTGCATTGTATGTACTGTTATCTGTGGGTGGTTTGGTTTTGTTTGCACTGTGTTATGTTTTAGTATTGCACTGCGTTTATGTTTGTATTGTTAGTGTTAATAAATTATATTGTTTATAACATATCTGAAGTCTGCGTTTCCCTGCGTCAGTCATACACCTCTGGTCATACCCGGGAGCCCTGACATTACACCAAGGCCAATCCTGACCAGAAGTGGCTGCACAGGGAAGCCATCTTGGTTTGTTGATGGGAAGGATGGATCTTGATGAGGTTGTGTATTTATATCTGCTAGTGTTTGATGACAGAGAGTATGCTTACCAAACTCTGAAGGAGTATCCCCGGGATGAACTGCTAGAATGTATACGGCTCGCTCATGTTCTAGTAGATCAGGGCACAGAATTCTCTGAGGTGCAGCCATTGATTCAGATTTGTGCGGAGTTGGTTTCATCTAGTACCCCCGAATGCAGGGATGAATTTTTGCCGCCATTTAGTGCCGACCAGGTAGAGTCCCTGGTATGGTTATTAGAGGATGATGTGGATTGCTTCTTGGAGCATTATGCTGCATGTTCACCACAGATACTAAGAGATTGTATAAACGCAGTGCAGTCTTTGGTCAGACAGGCTTTGTGTAAGCTCAGCTTTGTTCAACCCATACTGCAGACATGGACAGATTTGTTGCACCCAGCCTCAGTCAGCCTACAAAAACCCAGTCCTGCTTCTAATCTATTTCCTCAAAGCTCTATTCCTGCATTCCCAACAGCTCCTCCTGCCCTGCTATCTACCGCATGTCAGTACCCTGTTCCCACTCGCTGCACCTATCCTGCCTTTAACCCTGTAAAGAAGCCCTCTGTAGCAACTGCTACCTCCACTGTTCCATCCTCCAGCTCTTCTCTGTCTCCAGCTGCTCCATTCGTTTGCAGACCTGCGTTTACTTGCAGTGCTCCAGTAGTTAAAACCAGAAAAAAGCGAAAATTCTTTCCAACCAGTACCATCCTGCCAGTATCCAAACCGGTGAGCCTGCCGTCTGAGAACCTGCCTTCCGTGGTTCAGCCTGGTGCCTCGGCACCCGCACTTCAGCCTGAGGTCTGTACCCAGCCTGATGCCTGTACCCAGCCTGATGTCTGTCTTCGGCCTGATGCCTGTCTTCGGCCTGATGCCTGTCTTCGCCTGATGCCTGTCTTCAGCCTGATGCCTCTCTTCAGCCTGATGCCTCTCTTCAGCCTGATGCCTCTCTTCAGCCTGATGCCTCTCTTCAGCCTGATGCCCTACTCAGCCTGATGCCTCCACTCAGCCTGATGCCTCCACTCAGCCTGATGCCTCTACCCAGCATAATGAACTGATCCAGCCTGATGATCCTATTAGGCCAGTTGACTCGATGCCCGCTGTTGATCCGGTACCTGATCCGGCCCGCTGTCGTGCCAATTGACTCAGAGCCCGCTGTCGTACCTGGTGACTCGGTGCCCACTGCCTTGCCAGATGACGCGGTGCCCGCTGGCGAGCCAAATGACCTGATGCCTGGTGACCCAGTGCCTGCTGTCATACCTGGTGACCCGATGCCCGCTGTCGAGCCAGACGATCCAATGCCTGGTGACCCGGTGCCCACTGCCTTGCCAGATGACGCGGTGCCCGCTGGCAAGCCAAATGACCTGATGCCTGGTGACCCAGTGCCCGCTGTCATACCTGGTGACCCGATGCCCGCTGTCGAGCCCAGACAATCCAATGGTGACCCAGATGACCCGGTGCCCGCTGTCGTGCCAATTGACTCAGAGCCCACTGTCTTGCCAGATGACGCGGTGCCCGCTGTTGAGCCAAATTACCTGATGCCTGGTGACCCGATGCCCGCTGTCCAGCCAGACGATCCAATGTCTGACCCAGTGCCCGCGGTCATACCAGTTGACTCGGAGCCCACTGCCTTGCCAGATGACGCGGTGCCCCCTGTCGAGCCAGATGACCTGATGCCTGGTGACCCGATGCCCGCTGTCCAGCCAGACGATCCAATGTCTGACCCAGTGCCAGCGGTCATGCCATTGACTCGGAGCCCACTGTCGTGCCTGGTGACTCGGTGCCCGCCGCTCCGCCTGGGGGCCCCGAGACCTGTCGCGCTCCGCCTGGGGGTCCGGCGCCCGCCGCTCCGCCTGGGGGCCCGAGACCTGTCGCTCCGCCTGGGGGTCCGGCGCTCACCGCTCCGCCTGGGGGTCCGGCGCCCGCCACTCCGCCTATGGGCCTGAGACCTGTCGCTCCGCCTGGGGCCTGAGACCTGTCGCTCCGCCTGGGGGCCTGAGACCTGTCGCTCCGCCTTGGGGGCCTGAGACCTCGTCGCTCCGCCTGGGGGTCCTGGCGCCCGCCGCTCCGCCTGGGGGCCCGAGACCTGTCGCTCCGCCTGGGGGTCCCGCCCGCCCGCTCCGCTCCGCCTGGGGTCCGGCGCCCGTCGCTCCGCCTGGGGGCCTGAGAGACCTGTCGCTCCGCCTGGGGGCCTGAGACCTCGTCCGCTGGGGGCCTGAGACCTGTCGCTCCCCGCCTGGGGGCCTGAGACCTGTCGCTCCGCCTGGGGGCCTGAGACCTGTCGCTCCGCCTGGGGGCCCGAGACCTGTCGCTCCGCCTGGGTGGTCCGGCGCCCGCCGCTCCGCCTGGGGGCCCGAGACCTGTCGCTCCGCCTGGTGGCCCAGGGTGCCTGCTGCTCCGCCTGGTGGCCCAGTGCCTGCTGCTCCGCCTGGTGGCCCGCTGCCTGCTGCTTCGCCTGGTAATCCGATGTGCCTCTGCCCAGAGTCCAGCCCGATGTGCCTCTGCCCGGGAGTCCAGCCCGATGTGCCTCTGCCCGGAGTCCAGCCCGATGTGCCTCTGCCCGGAGTCCAGCCCGATGTGCCCTCTGCCCGGTGTGCCTCTGCCCGATGTGCCGCTGCTCGGAGTCCTGCCCGGTGTGCCAGTCTTTGATATCCCGCCAGTTACCAGACCCGGGCGGTGGAACATTTTGCCCAGCTAGGACTGTTTGGAGCGTCCTGAGGCCGCTCCTTGAGGGGGGGGGTACTGTCAGGAATGGACTGGCCAGCAATGGTGGGACTCACCTGCCTTATGAGCTGCAGTACCAGGGCTGGCCAGCGGGTGCTCCCAGCAATCAGAGACTCAACCTTGCAGCCGTCAAACACCTGGAACTGATTATACTGGTGTATTTAAGGGATGGCCAGACCTGCAGACTCTGCCTTGGTGTGTGTTTCTCCTGGGCCCTGTATCCTGTTCCTGCTCCCTGTTCCTGTTCCTGTCTGATTCGTTGCTGACCCTGCTCTGATCCCTGGCTTTGTCTGACCATTCTCCTGCTCCTGATCCCTGGCTTGTCTGACCATTCTCCTCTGCCTGACCCTCTGTACCACGCTGCCCGCTACCTGCTGAACCTGGCTTGTGACCCCGACCATTCTCCGCTTGCTCCCCCTGTACCTACCTGCCCGATTGATATTGACCCGGCCTGCCTGACGACGCTTGCATTGTATGTACTGTCATCTGTGGGTGGTTGGTTTGGTTTTTTGTTTGCACTGTGTTATGTTTTAGTATTGCACTGCGTTTATGTTTGTATTGTTAGTGTTAATAAATTATATTGGTTTATAACATATCTGAAGTCTGCGTTTCCCTGCGTCAGTCACACACCTCTGGTCATACCCGGAGCCCTGACAGTACCTGTCACCTGCCCATAAGTGTACCTGTCGCCTGTCCATAAGTGTACCTGTCACAGCTGCCCATCAGTGTACCTGTCGCCTGCCCATCAGTGTACCTGTCACAGCTGCCCATCAGTGTACCTGTCACCTGCCAATCAGTGTACCTGTCGCCTGCCCATCAGTGTACCTGTCACAGCTGCCCATCAGTGTACCTGTCGCCTGCCCATCAGTGTACCTGTCACAGCTGCCCATCCCTGTCACCTGCCAATCAGCGTACCTGTCACAGCTGCCCATCAGTGTACCTGTCGCCTGCCCATCAGTGTACCTGTCACAGCAGCCCATCAGTGTACCTGTCACAGCTGCCCATCAGTGTACCTGTCACCAGCCCATCAGCGTACCTGTCAGCACAGCCCGTCATATACCTGTCAGCACAGCTCATCAGCGTACCTGTCGTACAGCCCATCACACACTTGTCAGCACAGCCCATCTGTGTACCTGTCATGCAGCCTATCAGTGTACCTGTCAGTATAGCCCGTCAGCATACTTGTCAGCACAGCCCATCACATACCTGCTAGCACAGCCCATCAGTGTACCTGTTGTGCAGCCTATCACCACAGCCCATCAGTGTACCTTTTTTGTGCAGCCTGCCCTGCACAGCCCATCAGCGTACCTGTGTGCACAGCCCATCAGTGTACCTGTCAGCACATCCATCAGGGCAAGGCTATCAGTGTACCTTTCAGCGCATACACCAGTGCAGCCTATCAGTGTACTTGTGAGCGCATACACCAGTGCAGCCTATCAGTGTACCTGTCCATCAGTGCAGCCTAATCAGAGCACCCCATAACAGAGCCGTCATCACTGCTGCCCATCAGCAGTGTGCCCTTTATACAGCCAAGATGTCAAAAAAATATTTTACTAGTGAGGAAGCTTTCAAAAATCCTCAGCATGACTGACAAGAGCAGCGGGAGCTCTCAACGTCCGATTCCAATTCGGAATACGAGCCTGTAGAAAACAGTGGGATCGGTGACCGAATTGGAAGAGGAAGCAGTCTCCTCCTAAAAGAGTAAGACGCTCTGAAGAGCAGGCAACCACGAGCAACGCCAACGTACCAGTGCCATTAACACCCAAAAGGTCAATCGGCAAACGTCCAATGGAGCTAGACCCCAGGATGAAAGGCCAGTACCAGCACTGGAATATCACACCAGACTTCAAAGAGTCAGGCCCAAACATATCTCCCAGATGCTTTGGCAAACCCTTTGTGGCTGCCTTCCAGCTCAGGATAAGGTACAATCCCCCCTTCGCAGACAACCCCAATTCATGCTATGCCCGTCCATTTGAGTGGAGGATGGCTAACAGTAGAGGAGTTTTTTAAATTGTTTTTGGGGCCTTATGATCAACATGGGGCTTACAAAAAAAATGTGAATTATATGAAATTATTTGGGCCCACCACCGCGCCATCCTTGTACATTCCCTCGTCTTTTCAGCTGTAATGTCCAGTGCTTGCTGTATCACATGTATATTGTTCTTCCTCTGCATTTCAGTGATACTTGTCTCAGTGCCCTCCCTGACGATCAGCTCTGGCTATGACAAACTCTATAAAATTCATCCGCTAATTAATTTGTTTCTACAATATTTTCCTGAACTTATGTCTCTACCAAAATTCTTGTGGGTTTG